AAGTTCAAATTCTAGTCAGGTTCATTAAATTCACTTACACTCAAAAATACCCTTGGGAATAGTATGAATGCATCTCTTCAACCAGCTATGGGTTAAGTATTGGATATATCTGGAAAAATCATTGTTATTCCATAAAATAATTGTTAATGCAATATTCACTCACAAAAAAAAAAAAAAAAAAAATTTTATAATCAAAAATGTTTTGGCTTTAAATAATCCACATAGGGTTGATAAGTCATAAATAAACAATCAATGTGATGGAGCAATCCAGGTTTAGACATTATTTAAGTATATTTAAGTATACACCCCTATTATTCTATATTTGTTTTGTTTTATTTCCAGGAGAGCAGAAGTCCTTATATGAGGTGTTCCTTAACTCACTGTCACATTTCCAAGACAACTTTGGACCTGAGATCTGTGATGACCAATCACAAACTTTAAGCAACTTGGTGCCTGTTCCCAAAAATCCCATATATCAAATGTTGCAAGATCGACCTGATGCACTGTTACAAATCAACATGGATTCCTTGTTTGTCCCACCAGTTCGTACCAAAATGTGGCAAGATCATCAAAATGTCCGGAAAATGTATGAATTTAAAAAAATTTTTTTTTAAATTTTCCACCTTTTCTTTTTAATCATTTCACTAAAATGCAAGATATTACTGACGCCACTGGCAGATGTTATGCTCCGCAAACAAAAATGACAAAAATAAAACTATTAAGGAGACAGAACAATAAAAGAAGAGGAATTAAGAAGACAGAAGATAATGATTGACATTTCCTTTATTAATTTACTTAGAAAAATCAATAAAAATGAATGATTTGGACATGACGAGTTGTTTTAGGAAAATATGTTTTAACTCTAGACAGAATTTTGTCCACAAAACAAAACGTCACATGGTTTTTAAACACGTTAGAATATGTCAAAATATAAAAACTTTCTGGTCTGCTGATGTCATGAAAACTGCCAATTTTAATTATATTAAAAAATCAAGTAATTTTAAAACATTAATGCTGACATTCGTATAACATGATTGAATATGGTTAAAGCACAAAAACGTCATAAATGACAATAAAACTAATTTGGATTCTATATGGTAGATATGCTACAACGCCCTCTTACATATTTGTAAATGAGAAGCTCAAAGTGGACAGTGTCTTTTTGCTTTTTGGCTATTTTCCGGTCCTTGTAAAAATAATAGTATATAATATATTCTGTACATGCAATATCCTCAAAGTCATAAATGTCAGAAATTCATTGAAATCCTTATTTAGCAAAATGCAAAAGAATAAGTCAAATTTCAAGATTCTCTGATTTTAAAACTATTAAACATCAGTCAGTTATGTGCCATGTGTAATACACGCTTAGGCAATCATGTATCTTTTGATACATGACTGACAAGGCAGATCTTTTTTTTTTTCCCCTGCAGTAGGTTGCCATTTCCTTCTCTGGTAGACCAGTTGCCATCCAAGGCTATAGAACCCAGTCTGTCTTGCTATTTACCCAAAGCTGGGGGAGGAGGAGAAGATTTATACCTTTCCCAAGGGTATTAGCATATAAGTGAATGTAAATGGATTCAACTGGAATTCAAACGCAGCTCTCCAATTCCTCAGTCTGAGCCGTTATCCAGTACTCCACCATGTCTCCTGTTATACCTACAGATCTAATATTTGAGATATATCAGTATATTTCATCAAAGAACATCTGAATTTTCCCAGATTTTTCTGAGAGGGTCATTTGTGGCCATTTGTTGATTTGACACACACACACACACACACACACATATATATATATATATATATATATAACCCTATTTCTACTGACAGCTTTATCAATTATTCAGATTACCAACCCACTAAACACCAAACAGAAATACTCAGACCAAACTGCCATTTTATTTCACTTTTGGTGATAATGTAAAAGAAAGCAGAGATAAAAATATTATCCAAATAAATCTTAGAATTGCAAGACATCAAATTCATTGTAACTCAGTCTGGATTAAAAATGTGGTTCAAAGCAGAAAAACTCAGAATAACCATATAAAAGAGAGACCCAACTTTTAAACAAAGAATTAATAAAAAAGATTAAAAAAAAAACTTAAAAAAGAAAAAAAAAAATAATTAGGGAGAGCAATAAATCTAATATTTTTTGGTATTTTGAATAGGACTGACAATAACCAAAAACTTGACTCCATCCTGAATAATACAGACAAATTTAAGAAAGTAAAAAAAAAAAATACTACTAACCTTCTTAAGACACAAATAAACAAACTAATTACAGTTAATAACACAAAAATAGAATGAATGGAACTTAGAAAAATCATGGGTGAATATCATCCCAGCTATTTATATGGAAATGTTAAAATCAAGAAACCAAACTCACTACTAAGTCTCATAGTCTCTCAAGATATATATGGAAGTAGGAATTTATCTGAAACACTAAGTAAACTGATCCAACCGTGCATATCTAATAAATATGGTGTTCTGCTAACATACATTAAAATTATTTTTTTGATAATTACAAACTGCGATGGATAAATTGTCGTCTAAATTACGCAAAAATGAAAATAACACTGACATTTCATGTAAACAAAATTAATTTACCAAAATTACAAAAAAAATATCTTGAAATACTAAACAGTAAATTTATTCAATACAATTGCCATTGACTTCAACCACGGACTCCAGACAACTTCAGAATCTCCTGCAACTCTTCTGGACGGTCTCCTTTTTTTAAGTTGGTGAATACTACCATAATCCTTGCCTTCAATTCATCTCTGGTGTTACATAGTGTTTTCTTGGTCTCTCAATAATCAAAGAGGTTGCTGTCTGGGGAGTTAAGTTGTCATATGTAAGTGGTGATGTGGCTGAAGAAATTGTTTGACAGCCATGACTAGGTTCCCTTGTTTGTGTGGCATGGTGCAGGATCCTATTGTCAGACACAGGGTCTTCCAGCATCCACCCTCTTAACCCAGGGCAGCATTAACTCCTCAAAGCACTTGATGTAGGCCTCAATATTGAGTCTGAGGCCCTCACCAACACATTCAGGAGTTTTTTTTCTTATCAGGGAATCATAGGGAATTTTCTGAGCTGCTGTACCTTCGTAATCACCATTAGACTCATCTAACTCTTTCTGAATCCTTTGCACTGCTCTCAGATTGACACCCAAATACACTGAAATGTTCATATTGGAGCTTCCAACATGAATGCCAAGCAGTACAGCATGCCAGTTGTAAATTGCATCATGATGCTCTTTTTCTCACAGACTGTACCCAACTGATCCTACTATACTCTGCAGTTGACAAGATCAAAAACAAACAATGTGCATGCATGAAATTAAAACTATAAAATGGCAACAATTTACCCATCGCACCCTGTATATGGATGAAAATGATGAGTATATGGATAAAAGTGCTCAATATCAGAGATAGAGTATATATAAATATAAAAGTGGGCACTAAGGTCAACACCAAGTGGTGATACTTAGTTTTATGCTTGAACACAATCTTTTGGCTCTGCCTGACGATTGAATATTGCTGCCACATTTAGTCTGGTGTTTCAGCTATGTATTTAGTCTTGATAAAATACAAAGAAGAATCCGCAGTTGATCTTGACGTCTCGGTTTCAGTCACTTTGTCATTGCTGTGCCTTTTCTGTAAATATTTTCATAGTAATTGCTCTGATAAGCTTTGGTATCTAAACTTTATGAATTTAAGCACAGTACTAGATGAGTGACAGAACTAATTTCAACTTGATTTAAAACCAAAGTTATCAATTCCCATGAATTCCTAAGTAAAATGCAATGAGTTGGTGTTAATTTTTTTAATTTAGTATTAAAAATCCTTAGTAGATAAGATAATTCAGAATTGATCTTTTCTGAAACTTTCATTCTTTTTTGTGAATAAAGTGGTATGTTTTTTTTTTTTATTTACTTTTAAATCTGATCCTATAAAAACGCAATGTTTTTTGTAGTAAGAACAGATTACTAAGTTGTTTTTTTTTTGTTTTTTAAACTCATTCGAAAGAAGCCATTATTGATCAAAATTTAAAATCAATGAATTAAATTTTAATTTCGTTTGAAAACTTCACAATTTATTGAAATTCAAATGTGTATTGAGGATTTCAGATTTCATGTTTGTAAATAGAGAACTCCATTACAAATTACCTTGTAAAAAAAATTAAACAGTTTCAAAACTGCACAATATGATTTATTCTAATAATTTTTTTCAATTGCATTGTTTAATTTTTTTGAAGTGATTAGCATTTTTTTTTTATTTTTTTTATTTGAGCCCAAATCTAAATATTAATATTTACAATTAAACATTCTCATTCTTGCATTTTTCTAATTTTTAAAAAATTTTTTCATGTCACAGCCTTAATATAAATATATATGCAATTTATTGAAATTAGTTCCACGACCCTACTAGATTGGTGGCAAGGTTTTATCATTTTACCGTTGAGATAGCTGGATGTAACTGTAATTTCTATGCTAACACTTTCTTCTCTCACACTTCTCACTTGTCGCACTTTCTACCAGCTTCTTCCTTTTCCGTCAACTTTGATCTTCAAAAATTTGCATGCAGTGTCAGTCATTATTTTCTGTCTTCTTAATTCCTATTCTTCAATTGTTCTCTCTCCTTTCTTTCCTTCATATTTTCTTACACGCGATAACCCCCTTGTGTCTTAGTGGCTTTATTACCTTGCTTGGGGGTGAAATGACTATTAAAAAAAATGTCTGTGCATACATATCTATGGCGACTACAAAACCAGATGGTTTTATACTTTCTGTTTAATCCGACTTCAAAATCAGCACATTGTATACTTCGTGTTTTTTGCCTTTTACCTCTGATTTAGATTCTGCATGATTTACCTTTGTGATCCCAACACTCCCAGCCGCACCACACTCACACTCAGCTTTGTATAATTTCTCTTCCTCTCGGAACATGGCTGATTGTCAACATCCACTGGGCATATAAAACAGCTTACAGCAATTTGATATGTTCTTTCTTTGAAGTAACTTAGGATTTAAAGATTGACGGAAAAAGTGACTTTAAAAAGAACAGAGCAGAAAAAAACTACTTTGCTGTTAAGACAGAGATGATGTGACCTTCAGTGCACTTACAGAGTCAGTCATCTGTGCTGTAAATGTAAAGGATAACCTTTCTTGTGATGTACAAGGAAATGGTGGGGGGTGAAAATGTCATGTCCCATCTCACTTCTCAGAATCTGACCATATCTGTCCTATCCTCATATAATTACACATTTTCACTCTCTGTAAATGGAACAAGTACATATATACATATAATAAGAAGGATAAAAACTCTTGAAATACTCACTTTTAAATCATTTTGTATTATGAGCCTCACCCTGGCAAGAGATAGGAAACTTACATTTAATACCAGCCTCAGGAAATCTAGCTCCCCTGGCTTTACTCGTTTAGGAGGAGGTTGAGGTTATTCCATATAAGGGGTAAGTTTCAAGAGGGCTGTATTTTTTAAGATTCTGGTAGTATGTATGTGTGAGACCCCTACTTTAAACTGAATTTTCTACCATATTTGGAACAGTGGACATTCTAATAGATATCCAGTCCCTTTTTAGTGTGTGTGTGTCTATTCTGCTTGTCTCACCTGAGGACAAAGATCAATGTGTGCACAGTACTCATCAGAGAAATGATGTTTACTGATGATGCAGTGCTGAACATGGCCTTCAACAACTGATTAGTCAGTTCAACTTGACCTGTAAGGAATTTGGGCTGACTATTAACATAAAAATAAAAAAAATACGTCATGGGTCAAAATGTTTCTGCATCTCCATCTATCAGCATTGGTGATATGGTGCTTGAAATCATGGATCAATTCACATATCTGGACTCTGCCATCATTTACAACCTATTGCTTGCCATGGAAATTGACAAATGCATTGCCAAAGCAACAACAGTGAAATTGAGCAAGAGTGAAATTGGGACAACAGTCAGCTGACCTTGCTCACCAAACTAAAAGTATTCCAGACATGTGCCCTTAGTACTCTTTGTAAACATTATATATATAATGACTACTAAAAATCCCCCTTCACCATCCTACAGATGCATGCTGGTATTGAATCCTAGCCAATAAAAATGAACAATTCTTGGTCTTAACTACAAGTCAGATTGGCTATAACCACTTGACTGTATCCCTTTTGCATGTGAGCACTATTTCTATTTTTGAACCTTTTACTTTGTTAGTGTCTTATAATTGCCTTACATTACATTGTCTTGTATTGTTTTACCATTCCACTTCTTCTTCGTTATATCCTATAGATGCATGCTGGGATTTCTTCTCAGTCAATAAAAATGGACAATTTTTAATCTTATCCACACATTTTTTCTTTCTTGCCTTGAGGTCATATGGCAATAACTACTTTACTGTATCCATTTTGAATGCAAACTCTACTTTTATTTTGTGAACCTTTTACTTTGTTACTGTCTTATAGTTGCTTTGCTGTACTTTGCATTACATTGTCTTTGTTTTACTCTGTTCCTCTTCTTATTGTTTTTGAGAATTTGCACTCAACTATGCCTGCTTCCTCAAAATAGAATGATAGAATCATCTCCTTCTCCTAGAGTGGTGGCCATCCAGGAGTATAAACTGCTATTTAAGACATAGCTGGGGATTGGGAAAAGGGGGTATGTTGGTTTCAGACTCGTGGAATGATTACTAAAAATCTCTCCTGTCCAAATTTATTAACAAATCTTACAGATGCATGCTGGGATTTTTTCTGAGCCAATAAAAATGGACACTTCTCTGTTTTATTTTTTTCTTTCTTATAGTCAGATGGGCTATAGCCACTTGACTGCATCCTTTTTGCATGTGAGCACCATTTCTATTTTGTGAACCTTTTACTTTGTTAGTGTCTTACAGTTGCTTTGCATTACATTTCATCTTGTCTCATATAATTTTGCCCTGCTCTTCTAACTTGAGAAATTTGTTAATTCTGCTTAACCATTGATGTCAATAAAATATGATCAAAGCATAGCAGAATCTAATCTTATGTCTTCATTAACTTTATCGTGTGAAGCTTTCTGATTATCAGTCTTGTTCTCTTTGTGATCTAGCCCATTCTACATCTGCAACTGCTGACAGTATGACGTCATCTACAGGATATTTTAAACTGCAATTTCACTAATTACATGCATCTGTCAACAAGCTTACCTTCGTTTGTTTATAAGTAAAGAAACGTTTCTTATTCTAATGTTATTTCTCTGCTAATCCGAATTTTAATCATTGAAGAATAATATGGTGTCCCTCAGAGAGATTGAACCAGTAATCACTTTCACTTACGTATCTCATTTCTAGTGTTGATGAGTACCTGAACCATTGGCAATGCATCCAGCCCTTAGACTGTCTTCTTGAGAACTGCCTGTATCCCCACATCATAAATAAATCAACATGGGTATGTCGCGAACTGGTGAATGCCTTGATTACAGAACACCATCTCCTTGATTACCTGCAAGCTATGAGGGTAAGTCTCGTCCAATACAATATTCCTTTATTTATTAAGGTAAGAATCAACCATATAATAACTTTGTTCTGTCAGTAACACAACTTAATTTATGACTACTGGCAATCTTATTTTTCCTCATTTTCAATATATATAAACTGATTGCTAAAACCTGCTCAAGTAAATTTTATGTAAAATATTGCCAAATTCAGTCTGTAATTTAACAATATATATATATATATATATATATATATATATATATATATATATATATATATATTTATGTTCTTTTAATTCCCCCAAGAGTAAGCTTCTGTGTCATATACATGCATAGTCTTGAAGAAAGCCAGATAAATGCCTTAAGGCAATTAAAACTCTGAAGAAGTCTAAGTTCCATACATCAGCAGGTTTATTAATAACCAAAAGGGTGAAACTAGAAAAAGGGTGAAACTAAAATCAATGATGGTTAACTTTAGGGGAAGAATTCAGGGGGGAGAAGACTACCCACTGCATGCTTGGTGTGGTGTCTTTTTTGTCAGTTTCCTTGTGCATATAAATGAAAGTGGTTAATCTGAAAATACAAACAAACGAGGTTAGCTAGAAATAACAAATGCAGCCAGAGGCTTAAACATAAAACTGAAACCATTTGTCTAATAAATGGGTAAAAGAAAGTAGCAAGTGATTCGAGAATACATTCCAATGTTGCAGTGAGTTTACAGAAAAGGAAATTACAAAAAGGCTACATTTTGCAACAGTGCACGTAGACATGTGTTGAAAAGGTTATACATGGAGGGATAAAAAAGTATAAGATAAGGCTACATTAAACAAATGTTCAAACAATAACATGGAAATAAAATAGACATGGCTAAATAAAAAAATTAATAAAAGCTACAAATCGATGATGGTTAACTTTGGGGGAAGAATTCAGGAGGAGGATAAAACTACTCACTGCATGCTTGGTGTGGTGCCTTTTTGGTCAGTTTCCTTGTGCTAAGGTTTACTGGAAGTAGTCAAAACGGTGACCAATCTAAAAGGTACCTAACCTAAAAAAAAGGACAAACAAAAGAAGAAAAAAACAATATGGTTCCCATACTGTGTAAGAGAACGCTTTCCGCCTGGCATATTTATACACCACAATTGATCAAGGCTTCATGAAGAAGTACAGTTCCTGAAACAGGACTGGGAAGGGATTTGGTGCAATCCTTTCACTTTTTGGAAATTTTAGCTCTCTTTTTGTGGATCACTTTTAATATTTTATATGACTAGGATCCACTTGGATTATAAACTAAGAGATTTCTTAACTTTACTAATATATATATATATATATATATATATATATATATATATATATATCACACAAACCTGTAATCCTGTCTGAATCTCTGGAATGAGGAGTTATTATTTACCTATGATAACAACAACAAAGATGAAGATAATAGTCTGCATGTAAATAATTTAAATCTGTATTCCTGTTTTCCCTCAGTGAATTCATGTTTCATTTCTGTCGAAAGGCACATTTTTATTTAGTAGGACTTCTCGGTCTGATGTTTGACATTAATTTCACTGTTTAAGAAAATAAAACAAACAACAGGCATGTCAAGTCAAACATATGTACCCACTAAAAATAATGTTTAGAGTAACAGGAATGTTGGATTAAAAAAAAAATCCATTTAAATATTTTATATCTATATATCTCTCTTCATATATATATATATATATATATATAGAGAGAGAGAGAGAGAGAGAGAAAGAAAGAAACAGTCTTGTTTAATAAATCTTAACCATGATATAAAGTTTACATAAAGAATTACAATTTTTTTGTACTAATGATGCACAGACTTGCAGAAAGTACTCTCATGTCATAAATAAAAGAAGTGGTTGGTATCAACAGTAGTAGTGGATGTTTTGGGTATTTTAAATCTAATAACTAGTGGGGGGGAAATTTGGGGAGGGGTAGGATTAGTCTATCAAAATTTTTACCACAAATAAATATTAGCATTACTGTGTCTCATGTCTTTCATTTGTTATTCTGGTAAACATGGACCTTTATGCTCACAAAAACACTGAGTGTCAAGAGGACATTTTTTCCCATGACACTGGTTTTATTTTAACTACCTTCTCTCTTCAACAAAGTTTATCGTTTTCAAAAGCAATGATTAGAATTGTAATAAAACCTAAGCATATGAAAGTGAATTTAGATATTTTCATTGTTCTTGAGAATTGACAATAAGAATAATAAAAAAATATTTTATTTATTATATTTTTTATAAGAGTGATTTCCAGAACATTATAAAATAATAAGGATTTCCTTATAGCTGCTTCGCATATTTTAATAATTTAGTAAATGTTTATAAAATTATTATTAAAAAAGTGTTTTCATATTTATTTCTTTATACATTGGTAAACAATAGATATATCATTGCACTATTAATCATTAGTCTTAATATAATTGTATTAGTTTTAGAATGTTTTAGAATTTATTCCTGTAAATAAACAGTCTAATAAATAGTGTTTAATATTTTTGTAAATTTTCAAAAACAAAAAAAAATTATAAATTCACTTTCATCATGTTTAGTTTTTATTACAATTATAATCATTTCTTTTAAAACAATAAACATTGCTGAGAAGTAGTTAAAATAAAAGCAGTGTCAAGGGAAAAATATCCTTTTCATACTCCATTTTTTTTTTTTTTTTTTTTTGTAGGCATGAAAATCCATGTTTATCATTATTCTTTTCTCTACAGTGCATCAAGCTTTTTTGAATTTAACAATGGACTGATTGCAAAAAGGTTTCAGTAATTTTCATCGCCAATATCCTTATTTTAGTGTACCAGAAAGATATATTTTATACTTGGCATCCCAATGTGTTTGATCTTTTAATTGCTCTAATTCTTGTTCATATTCAGTTTTATGTTACTGTCCAAAGGCTACTAGAACTTGCTTTTCTTAAATAGAATACTACTCATGAGAACCGCCTCCAGATATTGTTCTTTTTTTTTGCTACTCAATCCTGACCTGGCATCTCGATCTCAGCCATTTTCTCACTGACTGATATGATATGGCTTCCCTCTGTCTTTTCTACAAATATTTTCATGGCAACTCTTTTGAAAAGATTTTTTTCCCTGTTGCCTCAGCTACATGAATTTAAGCATGCTAATAGATTGACAACTATGTTTTACTGTTGAATTCACAAGATGCAACTGTCACTTCTATTCTAACAGTTTCTTTTCTCGCACTTCCCACCTGTGGATCTCCCTTCTGATTTCTTATCCTTCTACTCGGTTTTTTGTTGAATATTAAAATTTGGAGTGTCGGGATTCAATACATTAATAAAATATCGTTACAGAGTCACTCATAATTCGGCCGTCTAAAATAATCAAACGCTTTTCATTGAAGGAATAAAATTCAGTAGAAAAGACGACGTAGTTTCAACAAATAAACATTGATTTAATATAACGATAGGAATACAAAAAGTTGGAAAGTAATGTCTTTTGTTTGGGTTGATAAAGTTCTGAAATAAAATATAAACTGTTTTTGTGTACGCGTGTGAGAAACAATAAAATGTTGCGATGTGTGTGTTTGTATGAAAAAGTCAACATGTGTATGCGTGCTTCATAATAAAAACGGATACTAGAGATACGAATTGTTTCTTACTTTTGGCGGTGTTGCTGTGGTCTGGAGTTTGTCAATGCTGTCGTTTTTGACATGAGGTCATGAAGGTCATCGGCGAAAGGTGTGCGTAGCTTGCTGGCAGCCACGTGTATATTGTTTTGGGAACGGATTTCGTATGTTTTTATACACTTTTTCCGAACAATATCGGCTCCAGAAATAAATTACTTATTTATTTCTAATTGGCCCTAAGAAGTCACGTGGTATGTCTTCTACTACATCCGTACGATATTTGGTCGGTATCTACCTAAAAATGATGATAACTAATACAACAAACATTTTGATTTGTAATCTATGATTTTATTGGTGTGTTTTAAGATGTAAGTGTTTTCTTAAGTGTGATTGGTTTATAAATATTGTAGTTGATATTTTAGTTGACACGACAACGTAACTTAAATCTTCTTCATGGTTTTTAAATGTACAGTAAATTACATAATGAGATTTAAAACTATATTCTTCTCTATCTTGAACTTAATCCACATTTTATTTAAACCACACTCTAGAAGGAAGTAAGAGAAACTAGAAAGAAAATGGGAGTTTTTATAGCTGTTTAACACTGCCGTCTAGTGTCTTGGCAAACTAAGTGCAGGTAACTCACACAAAATATTACATGACTAAAATATAATTTTAATTTGTTAGTATTAAATGAAGCTGTAGAAATGAATTATAATCTGAATAAAGTTTTTGAATCTGTATCAAATACATTTTGCAATTCTAAATGATTTTTTCTTGGAATTGAAATTTTTTTTCTAGTTTTTTTTTTGGGGGGGTGAGGAGATAAGATCAAGGTTGATGGTATGCAATTATTGCAGACTTGTTTGTATGCTAAATTTTTGGGGGTAAACAGTGAAGTAGGAGTCTTATTTGTAAAGTAGTTAGTTTTTATTCAAAAATGTTATATCATGTTTATGACAATTTGTTAGACTTAATTACTTATGTGGCATCAGCATTAAAAAGCCTCATGTGAGACAGTTGAAGTATGGATAACAAAATGTTATCAACCAGTTTTTAATTTTCATGACCTATATTTGATAGAAGCTTGGGACAGCTGAATTATGGATGAACAAAAATAGCAAAATTTGATCTTACACATGCTTACAAAAGTATATTTCCAAAATCAAAGCACTATCATTTGATCGACACTACAAGTTTGGTGATGTATAGCTATTTGGTCAGGTTTTGGATAATGCATTGAGCTGTAATCTTTTCAACATCTGATACATACATCCATTCATTATGCAACTTGGTGGGGAGGTGTTCATCATATTGGAAATAATAGTGGAGCTATATATAAATATAAACAAATCCCATGACCCATTAGGATGTAAACATCACTGAAAGAAACATAAATAT